ACTTTCGCTTCTCAGGAGAAACTTGTGAGTAAAAAATAAATGTTAGCAAAAATGTGAAGCCACTAGAACATTCATAGACTGCTAGCTAGTGGGAGTGTAAAATGATACCAATGGCCAATAAGCACATGAAAAGATGTTCAGCGTTGTTAGCCTTTAGGAAAATGCAAATCAAAACTACAGTGAGGGCCAGGCTCAGTGCCTCATGCCTGTAATCCTAGCACTCTGGGAGGCTAAGACAGGAGGATTGCTTGAGCTCAGGAACTCGAGACCAGCCTGAGCAAGAGAGTAAGACCCTGTCTCTACAAAAAAATAGAAAAGTTAGCCGGGCATGGTGGTACGTACCTATAGACCCAGCTACTTGGGAAGCTGAGGCAGGAGGATCACTGGAGCCCAGGAGTTTGAAATTGCAGTGAGCTGTGATGATGCCATTGCATTCTACTCAGGGCAACAGAGCGAGACACTGTCTCAAAACATAAAAAGAAAAAATAATAACATTTTGGAGATTTACTCACATTGTTGGCATATAATAACAGTTCGTTCTTTTTTATTGCAGAGCAGCACTCTGTTGTTAAGAATATACCACAATTTGTTGATACATTCCCCTCTTGAACATTTGAGATGCTTCCAGTTTTTGACTATTATGAGTAAGATGGCAATAAAAATTCTAGTACAGCCTGGGCACAGTGGCTCATGCCTGTAATCCTAGCACTCTGGGAGGCAGAGGCAGGAGGATCGCTTAAGGTCAGGAGTTCAAGATCAGCTTCAGCAAGAGCAAGACCCCGTCTCTACTAAAAATGGAAAAAATTAGGCCAGTGTGTTGGCGAATGCTTGTAGTCCCAGCTACTTGGGAGGCTGAGGCAGGAGGATCTCTTGAACCCAGGAGTTTGAGGTTGCTGTGAGCTAGGCTGATGCCATGGCACTCTAGCCTGGGCAACAGAGTGAGACTCTGTCTCAAAAAAACAAAAACAACAACAGCAAAAAAATTCTAGTACAAATATGTTTGTAGACATATGCTCTCATTTGTCTTGGATAAATACTTATTAGTGGAATTGCTGTATCATAGGATAGAGGCATATTTCACTTTATATGACTGTGCCAAACAGTTCTACAAAGTGGTTGGGCCATGTAAGAGTTGTATGTAAGAGTTCTGTTTGTTTCATATCATCACCAACATTTGGAGTTGTTAATTTTTAAAATTTTAGCCATTCTAGTGGATGTGAAATGATATATCACTGTGGTTTAATTTACATATCAAAAACCAATACATCATAATATCACTTGGTTATGATATATTCACCTTTTTATATATTGCTAGATTCAATTTGCTAATATATTTTTTAAAGGCTATTTTTTAGAGCAGTTTAGGTTCACAGCTAAACTGAGAGGAAAGTGCAGAGATTTCCCACATACTCCCTGCACCCACACATGCATGGCCTCCCACACTAACCGCATCCTCACCAGAGAGTTGTATTTGTTACAGTTGATGAACCTATACTCACACATCGTAAATCACCCAAAGTCCATAGTGTACATCAGGGTTTACTCTTGGTGTTGTACTTTCTATGGGTTTGGACAAATGTATAATGATACACATCTCTTATTATAGTATCATATAGAGTATTTTCACTGCCATAAAAATCCTCTGTGACAATTTGCAAAGATTTTGGTGTCAATGTTTATAAGCCATATTGGAGTATAATTACTTTTCTTTAAGTTTTGTCTCCTGTTTCAGTATCAGGGTTGTTCTTGCTTCATAAAACAAATTGGGAAGTATTCCCTCCTATGCTCTTTTCTGATAGTTTATGTAATACTGGTATTATTTCTTCCTTAAAAGTTTGATAGAATTAATCAAAGACATCATCTAGGCCTGGAGTTTTCTTTTTGGGGAGGTTTTTGATTATGGATTCAAGTTTTGTAATAGATACAGTGCTATTCAAGTCATCCCTTTTTTCTTGTATCCATTTTGGTAAGTTTTGGTTTGGAAAGAGTTTGTCTATTTCATCTAAGTTGTCATATTTATTGACATAAATTTGTTCATAATATTTCCTTATTAGCCCTTTGATGTCTGTAGGATCCGAAATGATGTCTTTCTTCCATTCTTGATTATTTGCATTTTCCTTTTTTACTCGATTATCTTTCTAGGGCTTCATGAATTTTATTAATCTTTCACAGAACATATTTTTACCTTTATTTTATCTTTTTTTCATTTCATTGATTTCTGTTCATACCTTCGTTATTTCCTTCCTTCTGTTTACTTTCGGTTTAATTTTCTCTTCTTTTTCTGTCTTCTTTAGGTGGAAACTAAAATCAATTATTTTATTTTTATTTGTTCATTTATTTATTTTGAGATAGAGTCTCACTCTGTTGCCCGGACTAGAGTGCCATGGCGTCAGCCTAGCTCACAGCAACCTCAAACTCCTGGGCTCAAGCGATCCTTCTGCCTCAGCCT